GCCTGCTACTTTGGGCGGGCCTGAGTTTCCTCTCCTCACCTAATCCCTTTGGCTGATTGCTCTTCTCTCTGGCTTCCTGGCTTTTAATCTCCTTTCTCCTGCTCTTCCCGCCTGCTACTTTGGGCATCCCTGAGTTTTCTCTCCTCACCTGTAACCCTGGGGCTGACACAATATATTGGGCTCTATTAAACCAAAAACCAAACCCATTGCCATTGGGTTATTCTGACTCATAGCCACCCCCATTGGGTTTTCAAGGTGATAAATCTTTATGGAAGTGGATTGCCCCATCTTCCTTCTGTGGAGCAGTTGGTGGTTTCACACCTTTAACCTTGTGGTTAGCAGTCAAATGCCTTAGGCACTGGGCCACCGAAGTCCTGATATTGGACTGTATATAAGTCTTATAGTAGACTAGGTTAGAAAAATGGATATAACAGCTCCACTTCCAGAGATGGTTCTAACCCTTTCACCTCAAATGACTTTAGAAACATTACTTAGCACTTTCTACCTTAAGTTTTCTACCAGAAATGAAGATATTACCTACCACCTAGTGAAATCCTAAGAAGGATGATTAATTAAACTTTGAGATTTTATCAGAAAATGTAAGATATTAATCTAAAGGATTATTAACATGGTTACTGTCTGCAAAGCGTTTTGATCAGGTCTGGACTGATTTGAATATAATGAGTCAGTAATAGTGCTATTGGGTTTCATAGTTGGGTTTAATTAAATATAACTTCATTCATAAACACAGCAAGAACCTAGCCTTACATGTGTTATCCTGTATGAAGTTAAAGAATTTCTGAAGTGGAAACTTTTCATTAATTTCAAGGTCCTGACTTTTTTTTCACAAAAGTTCCTTTGGTTTAGTTTCCTTTAACCCTTCTTCTGGGGGCAATTATGAAAATAGATGCCAGCTGCAGCTAGGGGACTTAAGATGGCTGAATGAAGAAAACCAAATCAGAAAGAATTAAGATAATTTTACAACAGCACACGGAAAGGCATTTTTTTCCTCAAGAATGACTGAATGTAAATGGGAGAATTTATGTACAGAATACAACTATGTGCTTAGAAACATTTATCACTGTTCATTAGCTCTTTCACATTCTTTCAACATTCATTGTGGCTGGGAGAGAGGTGCAGCAGTGGGAGTATATTCTCAATAAATAATTATAGCAGTGCATGCTGTAGTTCAGAGCTTGACAGCAGCATTTCCATATACGAATTCTCATTACCAGGGCTAAGCCAGTCAACCACAACCGCTAATTGTGAGAGAAACTTTGGCATGCAGGTTGCCTTGGACCCAAAGCAAGAAAGTGCAATCCCTCCTATTATTAAAATGGTTCCATCTGACTTGGTGCTCTTGTTTTGTGAGACCAATCCCAGCCTTGACTGAAAAGATCTCACACAGTAAGCTCAGACCCAGTGGTTGCTAAACTATACACTTTGAATGGTTAAAAGTCATTATGACCAGAGACTTCCTTCCTTTTCAATAAACTACTCTGGGAGTGTTTTAAGTGTTGGTATAAACAGTATCTTTCCTATAACTGCAAAGTGTCTTTCCTACCCTTAAGCAGGAAGAGGTAGCATGGATGAGATCTCCATCACCCTGGAGTTTGTCACTTCACAATATATAATGAGTTCAGAACCCATGTGGGCATTACAACTTATGTACTGAATTACAAACTTAGTGACTATTGTAAAAAGCAAATGTAGTTGCCTTCATATAAATTATTTTTTTTTAAAAGCATAAAACTTGTGAAAAATGATTATTGCACCAAAGCTATATATAGGATATGAATTTCCAGAGATGATTAGCATGCCAAGTTCAGTTGATATTGAAGATTACTGCAGTCTTAAGACTGACAGAAATGGCCAAGAAAGCAGTAAGCCATGTCAACCCTGCCTGATTAGCTCACACATACAATAATTCTAGTGTGGTCAGTGATACAATCACGAAGGGGACATGAGGCAGCAATTGCTTTTTATTTTTTAGAAGGATTAATACAATCTAATAATTGGTTTCAGGTATGTGCTACAATTTGTTCAACTGGGTACAAAATGCCTTCTATTTACACAGCTTTGCTTTTAGGGATATCTTCTCAGATATAATTGAAAAAAAAATCTGCCTGGAATCTTTTAAACTTTACACTGTTCTGAGACTTTCACACAAATGAACAAACATAGGAGCTGCAAAGTTAATGTAACTGTCATTTGTTAGTGAGTTCAAGTATACAAATGAAGCCATGTTTTCTGTAAATGAAGCCACAATTAAGGAAAATACCTTCCTGGGTAATTTTATGAAATGAGAACATATCCCAGTAGTAAAGGATTAGCAAGAAGTAAAGTGTCTTCAAATGCAAATTTCCTGACATTTTACAGCTACTAAAATAATTACCCTACCTTGGTGAACTAATAATAACTTAGTTAAAGGTTTCATTTATTATAACCAAATGTAATGCAAAAGTCACATACTCCGATAAACACCATTTCCATTATAGGCTTTGGCAAGGGTAGATTTTCTCTCTTTCCCTCTGTCTTCCACACATTAGAATGTCACGAGCAATTAGAAGAAATTATTTATGTGAAATGGAAAGGTAAGAGCATAAAGCAGTGCTGTGTACATCGTAGGCAACTAGCCTCCCCGTTATGAATCCTGAACAGAGGAGCCTTGGTAGCTTGATGAATTAATTATTCTCTGAAACTCTTGAAGTCTCTGTCTTTTGTTGCACTAAAACAATTTTATTTAATGAAAGTTCTGAAATGAAAGCTATTTCACATTATGTAACTATGGAAAAACTACATTCAGAATCTGCAAAACTTAGAGGAAACCTTTTGAAATATTGTCATGTCTTTGAATCTTTTTATATGCTATACCTGGCACTATATTGGGTACATGGTAAGTTCTTTGCTTGTGGAATGAAACTGGGAAAAATCACCTAAGGACATAGGAAACCTTTTGAGAAGCAATTTAGAAATATGAATGAAATACCATAAAACTTTATATTGATTTGACCCAATAATTTTATTTTAGTGAATTCATGCAAATATTAAATACTGAGAGAAATTTATGCACAAAATTTTCATTGCAATAAATAATAAAATGATTACCATTATTTCTCTTTTATTTAGTATCCAGGCAAAGCAAATCATGATCTATCTACTTAAAGGAACATTATGTAGCCAATAAAATGATGATTGTCAAACTAGATAGCAATGTAGAACATTCATATGAAGTACTAGAAATGCAAAAAGCTTGATGCAAAATTGTGTGTATGGTAGAATTGCAATCATGTAAAAATTAAAAATTAAATTAGCATAACAAAGAACAGAAGACACACATAAAGATGCTTGTGTAGGTTCTGGATGGATGATGGATAATTTTTTCATATCTTTTCATATTTTCAAACAATCTGTGGCTATTTTTAAAGGAAATCATTGACTTGAGCTAAACACCTTATTGTTAAGATTAACACCTTAGGATTCCTTCTCTTGAATTGAATCCTTCTCTTCTCCAAGCTATTTTCTATGTAAATAGACTCTTGATGGTTAATTAGTCACAAATGGAAAGCCAGTTTGGCTGAGGTACATAAACTCTAATTAATGTAGACCTCACTAATTGATGATATACAGAAATTCATAGATCTGAGATTCTTGTGGAATAAAAGTAATTAAATATTAGGATTTTTTTTATTACGCAGTTGTAGCACATTATTTTGTAGAACTAGTCATATAAAAATTGTAGTTTTATTGGTGAGCTTATTTCATTTAACTCACTATGTATATAATTATGCCATTTGTAATTATGTATAATGGTGATATGTAATGTCTGAAAATAGAAAAATAGCTAAATTGGTTAATATAATTAATTAAACAAATAAAACTGATTTGCCTGATCAAGCCTATGAAACAGATAAATTGGTATTTAGCAGATTCAGCTCAGATTTAAAAAACAAAACAAAACAAAAGCATTAAAATCCAAACCCATAGCCATCAAGTCAACTCCGACTCATAGTGACCCTGTAGGGCAGAGTAGAATGGCTCCCTAGGATTTCCAAGGCTGTAAATCTTTACAGAAGCAGACTGCCACATCTTTCTCCTGCAGGTGTGTTTGAAACTCCAACCCTTTGGTCCACATCAGAGTGCTTTAACCACTGCACCATTAGAGCACCTAAAAATACATTACTTTTCATATAACTGTTTTGTGGCTTGCTTTAATTTCAGATTCAATTGAAGATTTGTCATAAGAATAATGCACTGCTATGCTCTTTATGTATACTACTTCAAAAATAATCAAGTTTCTGGAGTGGTCATCAACAGGATGCTGAACATGAAACATACTGGTGTGTTTTAAGCTAAAGCAACTAATTATTTAATTATAAGGAGGTAAGAAATACTTGTTTTTTTCTAGTTAAGAATGACTTAAAATACTCATTTCATGTTTTAGATTTTGTTTGTTGAATTTAACTGGAACTGGTTTCATAGACTTGCTGTTATTGATATTAATGATAATAATTTTCCTCCAATATTTTATAACAATAAATAGAACGTAATTTATTTCTCTTATTTTGATAACATAAATTTCACTTACGATTACGTACTAAATATTCAATCAAGTGAAAACCATTTTTGATGTTCAACCAATCAATATTTATTCAGGGCCCACTAAGTGTTGGAAGGAGCCCTGGTAGCACAGTGGTTAAGTACTCAGCTGCTAACTGAAAGGTCAGTTGTTCAAACCCATATGCCTGCTCTGTGGAAGAAAGATGTGGCAGTCTGCTTCTGTAAAGATTTACAGCCTTGGAAACTGTATGGGGCAGTTCTACTTGTCCCTATAGGGTCGCTATGAGTTGGAAGCAACTGGACAGCAATGGGTTTGGGTTTTGTGTTAGGCTCCTAAGATAAAGTGAGGACCTTGCTGATTTTGAATGTATACTTCTTTAAGTAGATTTTATAGATAAGCAATTCCAAAAAGAGACAAATACTTAAGTAACTTACCTTTGATTCCTTGAACTTGGAGAAAAATCCAGAAAACAAAAATAGCCCTTTTAGTCTCCAAATGCATTCTGGCTCTTCAGCATTGGTAACTCTGGTAACAATCATGGAACAACTCTAAATCTCATTTTAAAATAAATAAAATGACAGAAACATGAAAATATTTAAATGTTGATGTCAGCTGAGTGAAGATAACCTTCTTGGTTTACCTCTTTGAGGGTGCTAATTTATGAAGAACATACAGCAGTGTCTGTTTCAGGAATAATCTGATTATCTTCCCCTCAGGTGTAATCTCTGCTTAAGGGCCAGCTGGAAGAGCCTTCATCTCATTAACCTTCTAGAGGAGCATCTGTCAGCCTAGCTCCAGGACCCTGAATGCCATCATAAACAAGTGTCCACAGATAGAAGGAATGTTTTTTTTCTTGGTTATTCACTTGTTACAGTGACACAGAGAGCCAGGGGAAGTCTTGCCAAATGCAGAAGAAGGCTGACAGTTGGGGTCAGATGTTTTTCAAATGACATGCACAGGAGCAGTCCATTGAAAGAGCTTAATTGCCATCCCTGGAAGTATGTACTTATTCAATACTTGCTAGCCTCTAGAGACTAAAAAACTAGCTCCATTCTCATAGAAATGTACTGCTTCGTAAATTGCTTTCTATTTGACATTATACACAGATGACTCTTTGTTCTCAGTTTGTTTTAACTGTTTAATCTGTTATCCATGCACAGAATTTTAGGAGACAAAGCATTCTACAAAGTTTACAGAAAATAACCATGCCTACCTCCTACCACTCTCCCAGATCTTCATTCAAAGGGCAACAATTTCAAGTTTTCAAGTAAATTCTTGCCATATTTTCATTCATCTCTCTAAGCAATATGCTTATATTATAATTTTTTGGTTTTTCTCTTTTAGATATTATCAAATAATGGATATCAAATAATGCTATCTTTGCTTCCTCAAACATCTTCGCCACTCTCCTAAGCACATATATGTCTATTCTTCCATCCGACCACTTCAATATTATTGTATTTTTCATGTGTTAAATATTCATTTCAGTTTTATATTATTGTGTGTATACTTATGCTATTTGTAGCTGTAGGAGTTCCTATCAGTCCAGCAGCTGATGGTTAGCAGTTGGTAGAGAGGTCCCACACTCCAAACAGACCTCCAGGGAGGTCTGGATTTTTGCTATAAGAGCCAGGAAGTAGTCTGTTGGCTGTGGGTGTAGTCGCCTCTCAAAATACCTGCTTCTCAGTATGTAGCAGCCTCAGTCAGCAGTCCTTATCACTGACTGTTAGGGGAGCAAACAAACCCAAAGTAATCCCCAGGTAGGCCTGCCCTATTGGTTTCAGAGGTCTGAGCTATCAGGTGCACAGGGAGGCAGATAGAATGCTGACTATGGGAGAGGACCCTACATGGAGTTCTTTTAGTTTACAACAGCCAAGGAAGGTTGGGCAATTTACTATGGCAGTGGGTTTAGTTTTTTTTTT